TTCATTGATATAATTGTGCTGGTATTTCTTTATGTAGTTGTGCTAGTATGTTGTCCTTTTTGTATTTTTTTTATCTGTCGATGGTAGCATCTTTAGTCACTTTAACCTTTGAGATGGTTGGGCGTTTTACTTGTACTTATCTCTTGTGTGGTTTCATTTATGAAGGTGATTGGAAAACTTAGTGAGGGTAAGGCAACTCACATTCCATATCGTGACTCTAAGCTAACTCGTCTTCTGCAATCATCGTTAAGTGGTCATGGACATGTTTCGGTAAGACTCTTCTGTATCTGGTGTTCCCATTTCACTATATTGGCGTTCCTTGGTTGATTTTAGCTGCTTTTTTCTTCTTGTTTATTGACTATTTGTAATAAGCACTAAGCATTGCAGTCACGCTAATTCACCATAACAAAAAGGAAACTAATTCAGTATTTTGTTTTCTGTTTCATTTTAGCTTATATGTACAATTACTCCCGCGTCGAGCAGTAATGAGGAAACTCATAATACATTGAAATTCGCCAGTAGAGCAAAGAGTATAGAGATATATGCTTCACGCAATCAGGTGATCTTTTAGGATGTTTTACAATAAAGGAATTTGCTATATTCGAGGGTACAAGCTTGAACCTCTGCTTAATGATATATTTTTTACTGTTCTAAAAGCAGATTATAGATGAGAAGTCACTAATTAAGAAATATCAAAGAGAGATATCAATTCTCAAACTAGAACTTGATCAGCTAAGAAGGGGTATGCTTGTTGGTGTCAGTCACGAAGAGTTAATGAGTTTAAAGCAACAGGTTCAGACTTCCCCCTAGCCACCTTTATCCTGAATATATTTTGCTGTGTTCTAAAGGCACTGACTGAACTACCTATCGATTTATTACAACAGCTAGAAGAAGGTCAAGTGAAAATGCAATCAAGATTGGAGGAAGAAGAAGAAGCCAAAGCAGCTTTAATGAGCAGAATCCAAAAACTTACCAAGCTCATACTCGTCTCTACCAAGAATTCTATTCCTGGATATTTGGGTGATGTACCCAATCACCAGCGCAGTCTCTCTGCAGGCAAAGATGATGTAAGTTTTCTGTTCAAACCAGTGATATGACCCAAAACGATAAATTCCTGCCATTTCAGAGTGGTAAATAGTTAAGTTGCATCCTTTTTTGAGGTGGGCCAACCGTTTTGGAAATAGTTTGTTTTGTTCATTTAAACTGTATAAGTTCGGTTTTGTTTGGTCAAGGCTTCTTGTTTCTGGACCAAGTAATTTACCATTCTATCTGCTCCTTTGACTCTACTGCTGCATGTTGCTTCCTCGTCTCAGAAGCAGTTTCAAAACACAAGGAGTCATTCTAATTTTTCTTTTCTCTTCAGAAATTGGATTCTCTGCTCTTGGATAATGATAATCTGGGATCTCCATCTTCGACCTTGGCTCTTGTATCAGATGCTTCTTTAGGTTTTCACCACCGGAGATCTTCCAGCAAATTGAATGGCGAAAACTCGCCGGGTGCAGAATTTTCTCAAGTGAGTGAATTACCCCAGAGTGTGTATTGATTGTCAGAAATGGCATCTACTAGTTATTGGGCTAATGGCTTTTTGTAGGGTGTCATGACGCCGGATGAAATCGACCTTCTGGTTGAACAAGTTAAGATGCTTGCTGGTGAGATTGCTTTCAGTACGAGCACACTAAAGCGTTTGGTGGATCAGTCCGTAAATGATCCGGAAAACTCACAATCTCAGGTATATAAACTTCCTGATGTTTCTGTACTCGGCCATTGAAAATACGTTTCGGAAATACTTTTTGTGAGTTTTTCAAATATTGGTATTTGACTACCTGAAGTGGCTCATTTACCTTTAGCTTAAGTAACTAACCTGATAAATTATTGCATGCAGATACAGAATCTAGAACGTGAGATTCAAGAAAAGCAAAGACAAATGAGGGCCTTAGAACAGCTCATAATTGAGAGTGGTGAAGCTTCAATTGCCAACGCGTCATTGGTTGAGATGCAACAGGTATTTAACCTCTACATATCATTCCCTCGATAACATGATCTTGGACCCTTTCAAGGTCACTGGTTCAAGGCTCAACGCTGATCAGCTAAGATATCATGTTCCTTTCTTTTTTCTTCTTTTTCAGAAAGTTATGAGCTTGATGACCCAGTGCAATGAGAAGAGCTTTGAGCTGGAGGTGAAAATTTATTCTTTGATTCTTTTACTCTAATAGCCAAATCAAGAGATTGCTTAAATTTGACCAAAAAAAAGAGATTGCTTAAATTCACGATTTGTTTAATTTGGTTCTCAACCTCCGATACAGATCAAATCAGCAGATAATTGCATTCTCCAAGAACAACTACAGAAAAAGGTCGGTAGCTTTTTTTTTTTTATCTCGTTTTGAAGTTGTGCTTAATTCTCAACTCTTTTTACTCCACTCTTCTTGCTTTTATCTCATTCATTCCTTGAACATTGTTCTGCGAAAAAATGCTTCTTACCACCCTTTTCCTAACACTGTAGTGCACCGAGAACAAAGAACTACATGAAAAGGTGAACCTTCTAGAGCAACGTTCGAATGCAGTATCTAGTGAGAGATCCTCACCATCTTGTTCCGATAACGCGGTATCTGGAGAGTATGTAGACGAACTAAAAAAGAAAATACAGTCGCAGGTAATTCTACAAATATACATTCTCAGTTCACATAAGTATCCCAGTAAAATACATGCGCGCTAATTATCACGTAACATAGATAATACATTTATTGTAAACTCGATCCTCTCTTTATGTTTTTTTCTCTCATTCTTACATGCATGTTCATGCCATGTATTTAGGAGGTTGAGAACGAAAAGCTGAAGCTAGAACATGTGCAGATTGTGGAAGAGAACAGTGGTTTACGAGTACAAAACCAAAAATTAGCTGAAGAAGCTTCATACGCTAAGGAACTAGCCTCTGCTGCTGCTGTTGAGCTGAAAAATCTGGCTAGTGAAGTAACAAAACTCTCACTACAAAACGCAAAGCTAGACAAAGAATTAGCAGCTGCAAGAGACTTGGTTCAAACACGTAACCCCATGAACGGAGTAAATAATCGCAAGTATAACGACGGGGCAAGGTCAGGAAGAAAGGGAAGGATCTCTTCAGGTAGGTCAAGTGGAGATGAGTTTGACTCTTGGAATCTCGACCCGGAAGATCTGAAAATGGAATTGCAAGCAAGGAAACAGAGGGAGGCAGCGCTTGAGTCTGCACTGGCAGAGAAAGAGTTCATAGAAGACCAGTACAGGAAAAAAGCAGAAGAAGCAAAGAGAAGAGAGGAAGCTTTAGAAAACGATTTGGCAAACATGTGGGTACTTGTTGCTAAGTTGAAGAAAGACAACGGTGCATTGTCTGAACTCAATGGCACTGCCAATGACCCTGCAAGGGAATTAGAGAAGAATCAAAGTAACATGGTTCTGAAAGAGAGACAAGTCTCGAGTGCACCGAGACAACCTGAAGCAGTAGTAGTGGTGGCTAAAACCGAAGAGACACCAAAGGAGGAACCTCTCGTTGCTCGTCTCAAGGTAAGGTTAAACCCCTTCACGATTTTTTTTGGGGGCCTTTCTTTTACATATCTTGATAGTTTTGTAACAATGAGACAGGCAAGAATGCAAGAGATGAAGGAGAAAGAGATGAAATCGCAAGTGAATGGAGACACAAACTCTCACATTTGTAAAGTATGTTTCGAGTCTCCCACTGCAGCAATTTTACTCCCTTGCCGTCATTTCTGCTGTAAGTCATAAAATCATCTCCATGAAGCCTCCTTTCTCTTTTTCATTACTTTGATTATTGTTTTTTTTTGGGGGGATATCGAACAGTTGTAATAAAAAGATGTTTCATTTTGCAGTATGTAAATCTTGTTCACTCGCTTGCTCTGAATGCCCAATTTGCCGCACAAAGATCTCTGATCGGCTCTTTGCATTTCCTTCTTGACCAATCAAAGGTACTTTTTTTTGCCAGTGAATGCAGAATGTAGTTATGTTAGATTCCATTTTGGATTCTTTTTCGTTTTAGAAAAATCTAGTTCGAATGAGTTTTGGCTTTCTTCCATCACAACAATTTTACATCAGAGTTTCGGTTTGCTTTCTTATTTATAGAAATGAAAAGCTGACTTAACCGATAAGCTATTACGTCGAGTGTTTGGATTCATTATCCGTAAAATTGATTAGTTACAACCGGATTTAACACTATATTGATACCGTGTATATAAGATGAGAATTGCAAAAAGATGTGAGTATTGATCAAATTGCATCATTTTGCAGGTGTCAAGAACTGTGGGTGAAGCCTGTTGCTATATATTTTAAAGAAAGAACAGGTTGGGATTTTTTTGTTTGAATTAGTTTTGGGGTCTTTTGTATGTAATATGTCTATTATGCTTATAGTTATATTTATGATTATAAAAATGGGGGAAAATGCAACATTGCCAACATATACGTGTGGACATGTCTTCATCTCTCTTCTTTCACCCCCGTCGTAAACGATCGAATGCGAGTATTTTTTTCTTACGAATTCAACGGGAAAAAAGTATATCAACGACCATCTACTCCATTTTATTAAAAAGTTAATGAAACAAACTCTCAAAAACTTTTCAACTTTAAAACAATTTCCGTTTTCTTCTGATGCTGTCAAGAGATACCTCCTGCTACAGAAACTTGTTATGTGAGACATGTGTTTTAGCGAAATTGGGAAAACAGAGATAGCATCCAGTTACAATATATAATCTTTCTAAACTAATTTCATTACTCGGTTGAGGAGTCAGATGATGCGAGAAAGATCTTCTAAGACGCAACGTCCATACCTTCTGCTCAGTTTTTTTAACATGACCTGTTGCAGCAAAAATCCAAATTCATTTGGTGTTGTTGATTTGATTGGCAATACATCTTTGGCTGTTCCACAGAACAAATTAGTTCTTGTTATCTTTTGTTGCCCATCCAATATTGTTGGACCTTAGCCAAAACTGTAAACCCAAATCCGAGTTTTTGTTGATAAAGACAAGACAAAGCAAATTCTTATTAGAAAAAATAAAGATAAAAATGAAGAGACTGGGGAACATCGAAAACAACAAGTTGGTTTGGTTTGGATTCATAATTTCGAACTCCAACACCCAAAGAAAAAGACTAGATTCAAACCCAAAAAAAAAGGGATAAAAAAGTAATAATAAGATCATGAAAAGGGTTTTTGTTCCCAAAACCCTTGATGATGGTATTGAGAAGAACCATCGTAAGCCCTATAGGACTCATTGTTGTTATCCTCATAGGAGACACAAGACGGATGTTCAAGCAAATCCTCCACTCTCCAACCCGGCAATGTTTCCATCAAATACTCCGATATACTGCCCGTACCCGATCCAGAACCCGAATCGCTCACTTGATGATAGTTTTCCTCTAGCCCGTAATAGTAATTGCTCGTATTCGTCGAAGGAGAACTCGCAAAGATATCACTGGAGGCCGAGCTCGGGACCTCCTCTGATACTGATTTGGGTCGGGTTTTGGCCCGACCCGATCCTGCGGTCGAGTTGGGATTAGAAGCTCTCGGGTACGCGGACGGCAAGGCGGATATCTTGACGCCGGTAAGGAGAAACCTATTGTGTTTCTTGGTGTGCTCATTGGCTTGATGTATTGAAATGTCACATTCTCTGCATAGTATTGCTCTGTCTTCTTGGCAAAATAATAATGCACGCCTCTCCTGTCATATGCATAAACCATTTAATAATCCATTAGATAATAATCAAGAAGACGGTTGTTCATAAGATTTCTTTTCTAATATAATCAAGAAGACCTTTGTTAATTATACGTACTTTTTTAATACTTGTATTATTTTACTTATTTTATAGATTTGACCCTTCGCTTTTCCACGACCTTTTTGAAAAGGATAGTATATTTTTTTAACAAAGGCACAAAAAAAGGTATTGAAAGTATTTTAGTATCGTAAATAGCTCGGTTTACTTATTAGTGACCAAATAGTTAAATAATTAACCAAGATTTTGGTAATCTCAATCTCTGCTCTGCTTCTGAGCAAAGCAATTTTGTGATTTTAGGGTTATCTTCAAAATTGTGTGAAAACTTCAAAATTAGGAAAGTAAATATAATTTGGAACAATTTTCCAGGAAAGAAAGGGGAAATCAGTTATTTTCCCACCAACCAAAAAACAAATCTCAGGGAAAAAAAATGACTCAACAACCCTGATTTCATCAATATATTAACATATATCTAAAAGTCAGCAAAAAAAAAAAAATCAGCAAAAAGTTTAAGAATTTTCTGGAGAAAGGCAGAGGAAAACAGTAGAGTTAAGTTATTCTAACCGCGCAAATATCACAGAGGGGAGCATCTTTGAAAGTAGGAGAAGTGAGAGAGAATCGGAGATGTTTCCCGGCGAGCTTATTGGCGAAATGAACATGGCGATCGCAGCCATTACAAAGAGCTGCTTCATCTGCACAACAAAACACTGAAGCTTCTTCTTTATCACACACATCACACCAAATCTTCATCTTTCACTTCTTTTTTTTTTTTTAATAAACAGAGTTCTTCTTTCCTCTGGAAAAAAAGATTTTGATGTTTCTAGAATTTCACAAAATTTGCTCCTCACTCTCTTTCTCTCTCAACTTGGATCCTTGGACCAGTACTATATAATATAGTGGTGTTTATGTAGGCACTCATGTGGGTGAGTGTATGTATAGGTGTATATAGAGATGATGGGGTATGAGTGTGGGCAAAAGGGTAAGAATAATGTGTTGGCTTTATAGATAAGCAGCTTAGGTTTCCTTTTGTCTTTTTTCACTCTCCCTCTCACTTTCTTCCATTGATAGCTACCCTCTCCTTTGCTTTGAATTTGCCCAAATTGACTTACTTTTGCTTTCACACCCGGTTTGGTTTTGTTTGATTTATAAGTTTGAGTTTCTTCTTGTTGTGAATTCGAATTGAATTCCTACAAACAAGCACAAGAGAGATTCATAACTATGATTTAATGAACTAACCAATCAAATGTCTGACATCGTGAACGCCCATTTGATTGGTGACACAGTAAATATATCTCTCGTTTTATATAGTTTAAATGTGTTTTAAGGTGGACATCTCATGCATTTATACTCGAAATATTTACTGTGTTAATTACATGGATTAGGTGTAGAAAAAATGTTTTAAATTGATAGTTTTTGTATTGCCCCTTAATACATCATTCTTTTTTATTTAAATGTTCTTAGATGGTTTGTAAAAAGGACTACTGAACTATTATTATTTGAAAATAAATTATAATCAAATTGGTAATCTAGTTTTTGTAGTATTAACTTAGCTTTTTCGTAAGTGTTTGATTTTTTTGGTCGGCTTCATAACTACTGTTTTCAAAATAAAATTATTCGTGTAGTAATTTTGTTATATAAAAAAAGGAAAGCTTGCTTAATTTCGTTTTTACTTTAAATTTACACCCAAATAGCTTATATAAAGACGACCTTGACGTGGGGAACCTTGTAGGTCTCGTCGATGGGAGAAAAGGTGCAAAAGTGGAGTTGAATACAATCTTTTTGGTCTAAAATATACTTTCATTTTTCCCGTCAGATGCTAGTTATCTAATAAATAGAAACGACAAACAAAAAAAAAATCCGAAATCATAAAAAGATTATGGAAACGAAAATACAAACTAAAAGTATTACATAAATGAGGAAGGTGGGGGAATTTGACAAATGGCCAGCTCTTCATGCCAGCTTTTGTCTTCCATCATCCATGTGTATATCTTCTTCCTTTTCATTTTTTATCGCCTCTCCTTTATTTATTTTACGTGTATTAGTTAGAACAAATGATAAAATGTTATACGAAAATCGATTTCCCAATCTTCTTAAACACAACGTAAACGTTTGTACAAATATCTTGAGAGTAGCCTAGGGAACAGTAATTTCGTGAACTTCAATTTATTCAATTTATTTAATTTCAAGCTTAGAAAGTGTAACGAAATTTGATTCATGTGATTCGGTATTGGTTCTATTTAGTTTCTATTGAACTCTGTTTAAATGCTTCGACGTAATTAATACCATATCGTTATAAAGTGACGTTAATAGTCGTTGAGATTTTTAACAACTCAGACATGGTTTCTTGTTAATGTATCCGTTTTTTTGGTCGAAGTTTATGTATCCTATAAATGGATGAAATGTGATTTTTTTTTTTATAATTCGATAATCAAACATACTCATATAAGGCTTTGCGGTCTTGTCGGCCAAACTGTTAGGAACTAAATGATTTTTTTTTCTTGTGTATAATCAAAACATTGAATCTTTTGATATGAAAAAGAAGAGTGGATCTGATCTTTTGAAGAAAAATAAGATAATATAGATCATTTATGAGATGGAAGACGACAAAAAATACTTTTAGAGGTAGAAGATATGGATGATCTCTCTCGAATCTTTCCTCTCATTACTTTGTTTTTCTCATTTTTGTTTTAAGTCAGTTCCCATATTACTTTATATATATTTGACTGCCTCTTTGAACCGAAGTTGGTTATTTTTTTTGGTTTCAAGGAAGTTGCTTTGTAATTCGAACTAGTCAGTAGAGGTAGTCATTGGGTTTTGGGTTTTATAATTCTTAGGATTAGGGTTTGGATTAGTTTTAAAATAGTTGATCACGTTGGATACACAAAAAATTTGAATTGAATTGTTTACTTTTTAGACTGGTTCAAGTTATTTAGATTATAAACAATTTATCACAACAAACTTTTACTTTGTCAGACTATATGGTTAATTTTTGAAGTGGTTCTCGAAATTCAACGAAAATATTTTTCTAATACTAAAATAGAATTAGTTTACGATTAGGATTGTATTACTAAAATTATTTGTTTTTGGATTTTTTTTTTGGTTTTTAGTTATCTAAAAATAAATCAAATTAAATTAAACCCAAACTGATAAATATTTTATAAAGTTTTAGATTTAATTAAAGTGAAAAATATAAATTAACCATTAGATTGATTAAAGTGAATAGTCCAAATTAACTGTCTATATTCGTTACTAGAAAGAAGAATAATAAATAAATATTTACAAAATAATAAGATTTTTTAGTGGACAAAACTTATTATTGTCGTCTTTTTGTATCTGAATTAGTTGTGAATTTGAATGTGAAATTTTTAGTTACCAGAAAATAAATTATTTATGACACAAATGTAAAATGGGTTAACTGGATTTTGATTTTCGAGTGAAAACTGAAAAGGATATTAATGTATTCGACAGTTACTTGCAAATTTAAAGTAATTGATATTGTATTTAACCGTGATTATACGTCATTTTGGTGATTATATTGCAGAAGACATTGAGATTTGAGACTTAGTTCAATAGTTCGGCGAGATGCTTCCCAACGAAAGCTAAGTAAATTCATATTTATCGTCTTCTTATAAAGAAATGATATGTTTTTTTTTCTCGTATAGGTTGTAGATCTTAAATCACATGGATGTACTGCTGGGGTCTGGACTTTTTGAAAAGGTTCTTGGTGCACTTTTTAAACATTCCATTTTAAAAATAGTATACATATATGGGACCTTTACCAATTAACTACTACCACCAATCATTCATCAATTGGATTCGAATTACTTAAACTTTATATAACGAAACAAAATCCAATCATTCATGAATATCACTGTCCTTGTGTCATATTGATTCGTCACGCAGACCCTTTGATCTCTATATTGCCACATTAATTTTTATTTTTCTTCACAGTCGGTGGATTTATGTTACTTATGTGCGTCAATTTTTGTGAACTGAGTATAGATTATATTTATATCCTTGTGTCTTTGTCTTAATTCCAAAAATGGGACCGTGGACCATCTTCTGACATGTTTCTTGTTTCTTCCAATCGTGTCCGTCCAATTCACCTTAGATCTCAGTGTGTACTTATAAGTATAATCCCAATTTAGTTTTTATTGTTTCTTCAAAAGAAAAGGAAAAAATGTTTTGATGTTTTCCTTTTTCCTGTGTGTGCATAGCTCACTGCGATAAGAAAAAAGGTTTGCGTTTTACATTATACTCATTGCGATAGCAAATACTTTCTCTTAATTTACATACCCAATTGTTACATACACCCTAGAAAGATTCCTATTGTGCTTTTATGTGCATTGTCCAAAAAAAAAGACGAACAAAAGACACCAAGAATCGTTGAGTATGTAATTTTCTTTTGTGGGTCGAATATTGAGGATGTATACGAAAGAAGAAAAAGGACACCTAGAATCTTTGGAACAAAATGGCCACTCTTAATTGGGTCTCATTTTTTTTTTTAAAGTACTGGGTCTCATTCATGGGCTGATATGGGTCCATTTAGAAAGTAAATCACGACTGGATATTACATTCTCTAAGTGATGCAATTACAAGCCCAATATCCACAAACAAAACAAAACAAAATACACGAGAATAATCATCCATAAGAATGAAAACAAAGTCGTAGTTTTCATAACACACGGCCACACGAGTAATTTGATCTCAACAATCTATTTCACTTGGAGAGGTTTTCTTTTCTCTATCTCATTAAAGCTATATGAGTACCTCTACTACTTCATAAGTTTGGAGTCTTTAGTTGCTAGAATGCGGTTTTTTATTTGAAATGATTTTGTCTTTACAATTTCTAATTTTCTACATCAAATTGTTATTTGCTGACAGTTACAAAGATTATGGTGCGACCAAAAAAGTAAAAAAAGGGAAAGTTTCGAATCAGTGCACAACCGAGATTTGAGATTTAACAGTACCAATTAAAAGAAAACACCCAATACAATTTATTTGATTATTAACTCTCACAGACCTTGAAGGAATTAGCAAGTCGAAGCAAATATAAAAGCTCATATTTTTCTTTGGAATTGGTCTCATCTTCATTGCTGAATCCTACCGAATAACAAAGTGTTTTTTTTTTCTTATAACAAATTCTTATTTAATTTGCGTAAAGAGACTTTTTTCTAGAGAGAGTTAGTCGGGACAGACAAATTGCATTTTTAGCAAGACAATCTACACGAATGTTATCACTGGAAAAAATGAAGCTAGTAGTAAACTTAATAAAAGATCCTATATAAAACCTAAAATCATCAAGTTCTGTTGCAAAAGTAGATCATCCTGATAAGTTCGGTACAATCAGAATCAGAAAAAACACTGATTAAAGAGATCGATATCAAACACTACATACCCTAAAATAAAATATCTAGCTCTGCGTGTAGAGGTGACAAACATTTTCTCGACTCCTCCCATTGTAATATCACTCAAGTGCAAAACGCACCCATGCCCACTAAATGATCAATCAATCTGATAGACTGGGATATTTTAAGCTCTAGTTCTCTCTATTTTTTACTTGACATCACTTGAATATTAAGTAGTTTTTTTGTTCTGCGAAAAAAACTATTTAAGTAAACTGTCTTTATTTTCTTATAAATACAGTAGGTAAGTAATTTACATCTCAATTAATTTAGCTAACGAGGGTACTCAGATCTATTCGGCGAACCTGAATTCCATTGTTTTTTTTTTGTTCGTTCGTTCGTTCTTCTGCCGATCTCATTCCCAATCGTAAAACCCTTTGAATCTATTGGGGTCGACGCCCTCGCTTTGATCTGGTAATGCTTGCTTCATCTCTTTCTCCTTCACACTGATCTGATTTCAGTTGGATCTCCATTTCGCTCTGTTCATTTTACATTCTCGATTTTGAATCTCACTCACTCCTTCGTCACGTTTGGATCTGTTCG